AGAGCTTGTCAGACGTCTAACCGGACTGCCCGAAACTCACCAAAAGAAATCCGCGGCTCACGCCCCCCGCCGTGCAGCTTTCAGCCCCCCTGTGCGACCTGACAGACGGCAAACAGTTCAGCCAAAAGTCCGCGACTTCCAGTCCGCTTCTGCCGTAAATGCGCTGAAATAGCTCTGCGCATAACGATTTCTACCCGCAATCTTTAATTATGTCTTGATTTTGCTTGCTTTTTTATTTTCCCGTTTTATGGTTTGACATATAGCGCCAGTCGGGACCGCAGCAGATGCCGAAGGACAGTCCCATCCCAGTCGGACTCCCCGTACCGCTCTGTTTCACTTTCCGCCGACCTCTCGCTTTTTGGGTTTGCGTAAAGCGTCGCTTAGGACAGGCTCCCCCCTAGCAACCGGAGCAGGGAAACAGGAGTCAGTGCGATCACATGGCAGAGGAAGAGACCGGTAGAGGCGAGCAATTGGGGATAACAGACAGGGGATATGTTGTATGTGCTAGCAAAGAACATTCAGTTTCATTAAAATGCCTACAACCAGATATGGGGAAAAATACATCAAAATGTATTTTGATACAAAATTGTATTGTATGTACAATTGTATTGTATTGTGTGTGTATCAAAATAAACTGTAAAATGCAGCCACCAAGCAAAGTATCAAGATAATTTACAGTATTTTGTATACTGAAAATACAAAAATACATTTGACATACTTCTATTCTATATTAATCTGTTCCTTCACAAACACACTGACTCAAATTGCCAAGCATAAGAGCAATATTTTTTCACTGCTTAATGCGAAACCAAGCGAAACAGTAACTATTCTGTAACTAAACTATAACTAAACAGTAACTATTCTGGGAAAAATTAAGAGACCACTCCATACTACATTTTTGAATCCTGGTTTAATGCTGGTTCTGCTGGTTGAAGGCTATGCTGCGAGGCAGGATGCTTCCAGGCTCAGAGTTACTAAGAATGCAGCACACAAGAATAAGGTGAAGCAGGAGACACTGGGAACAACGAAGCACGAGCCAGGTGTCATCAAAAAGCTACGATTTTCTAATGCCAGAGATGACAGTTAACTTTGCCTGATGAATTGGAGGATGACATCAAGTGACCTTCAAAAGGAATGGGAAACATTAAGTGGGGTAAAGTGCACTGGGTGTAAAGTGCACTGGGTGTAAAGTGCACTGGGAGTAAAGTGCCCTGGGAGTAAAGTGCACTGGGAGTAAAGTGCACTGGGAGTAAAGTGCACTGGGAGTAAAGTGCACTGGAAGTAAAGTGCACTGGAAGTAAAGTGCACTGCTAGGACATTTATAACAGGTTCCTAGAAGGGGGAGCTAAGACCCAGAAAGCAAGGAAAAATCCTTTCATTACTGAGAAGCAGGGAAGGGTCAGGCTGCAGTTTGCAGAACAATGTATATTTTACACTGACGCATAATCATACAAAGACGCATAAATTGAAAAATGAGTGAAACTGAAAATTTTGCTGTAGTCTCTTCATTTGGTCCCAGAACAGTATAATCTGTAAGCCTAATAATATCAAAATCAACAAGATTTGTTTTGGTTTTTTTTTGTAATTTAATTGACAAATTTGCTTCCTTTTTTGCACCATGATGCAAATAACTCAAAACACCAAAATGTAAGACAACAGAGATCCAGCAGCTGACGCTGCTTTGGATCCCAAAAAATTTAAAATGACAAACAAAATTTGCGCACTTCACTCCACAACATCTTGAAGATGTTAAGCATGAATAGGCCTGAATGGAGCCTGTAAATCTAGTAAATCGTGATCAGCTGTTGGATCTATTGACCATTTATTAAAATGTCATGCTGGAACAGAAAAGGACCTTCCCCAGACTATCCCCACAAAATTGGAAGCACAGAATTGTCCAAAATATCTTTGCATGCATGACTGTGCCCCAGTGCACAAAGAAAGATTCATAAGGACACGGTTGTGTGAATTTGGATTGGAAGAACTTTATTGGTCCACACAGAGCCCTGATCTCAACCCCATCGAACAGCTTTGAGAACCAGAATGGAGACTGCGAGCCAGGCCTTCACGTCTAACATCAGGGTCTGACCTCACAAATGCTCTTCTGGATGAACGAGCAAACATTCCCACAAACACACTCCAAAATCTTGTGCAAAGCCTTTCCAGAGACTGGCTGTTATACCTGCAAAGGGGAGGACCAACTCCATATCGTTGCCTATGGATTTAGAATTGGATGTTATTAAAGTACCCATGTGAGTAATGGCCAGGTGTCCCAATATGTCCGTATAATTCATTTTGTATATTTTCAAAATACTTAACATCATACTTAAGTTTGATACAAATTATAAAATAAAATTTTGTATTTAAAATAAAATTAATTTATCAGAAATATTGCCCATCCCTGCCTACAACTGCCCATATTTTTATGATACTGATCCAGAATAGTTCACTTCTTTAATAACACAGTATTAGCTATAATTACCTGCAAGCTTAGAACACTGTTCACAGTTATGACAAGAAACTATATTCTGTTTATTTCTTACTTTTAGACAGAAAGGAATGAAAAATGTTGATGTCTCATTCTACCTGGTGAAACTTCATTCTCAGTAGAAAGAAAATTAAAAATTCACACAGCCCTGACAAAGGAGACCTATAGGGAGGTTCCATTGTTCCTACGTTGGGGACCTTCTGCATTGTCTTCAACGATATTCATTGTCAGGTTTCAGGGAAGGGTACGTATGATAGGCATCCCGTGAAGTCTAGCATGAAGTTACAATTCTATAAAGGACGGGTAACAGCTGGGAGACAAAGGCTGGGGGTGTGACAGGATTCATAGATGAGAACTGAACGATGGGAAGAGTTAAAGGTTATACTTCTTCTGTAACACCCCAAACACGCCCAACGTACATTTGAGGACTTGTGGCTAGTCACACCGATGTACGCACGCACACACACACACACACACACACACACACACACACACACACATACACGCACACACACTGATTACTTTTGTCCCCTTATTGTCTTGAATAGCCTAATGTCTTCGGTTTAGAAAAAAACATGCAGTTCTCTTACAATGCAGACTCTTTTATGCAAAGTGATGCACATTTTTCGAGAAGGGTCAGATAGTCACTGGAGCAAAGAGCCCAACAGTGAAGTCACTCTGCCCACCATGGGATTTGAACTGGTAACCTTCTGATAACAGGCATAGCAACCTAACCCACAAACACTGCCCCCCAGATTATCAATCATGCGGTCTTCCAGTAAAACAGCAAAAGCCTTAAAAAAATACTCTTACAAGTAGAAAAGAAGCACACAAATAATGTATGCATTTATTCAGGGTAATGTACTTGCCGAGTGGGTAATTGCTTTAATCATTTAATGGACACTGAAATTTGGCCTCAGTCTTATATCTGGTCATTCTCTCTTGCTTCTAAGCCAAATCAGCATTTCTGAAAACAGCCCAAAAAATTCACCTTAAGATAAAACCATGTTAAATATCACAATGGGGATTTATCACAGGAACAATCCAATAACAATGAGAGTATTGTGTGGAAATTCAGCCAAATGACTATTTCAATATTAGTCTAAATACTAGAACTCGT